CTTAAAGATGGCTACTATCCTTTGATTCTTAAAGATGGCTACTATCCTTTGATTCTTAAAGATGGCTACTATCCTTTGATTCTTAAAAATGGCTACTATCCTTTGATTCTTAAAAATGGCTACTATCCTTTGATTCTTAAAGATGGCTACTATCCTTTGATTCTTAAAGGCTCCAATAATCACATGTTTGGTTTGGGCCCATAAATTCACCTTTTTGTTGAGTTTGAATCTTTTTTATATTGTGTCATATTATTTTACTCCTGATTCCATTTTCTACTTCTACAAATCTCTTATTCATCCCTGTATGAAATACTCATGTCATATTTTCTACTTCTACAAATCTCTTATTCATCCCTGTATGAAATACTCATGTCATATTTTCTACTTCTACAAATCTCTTATTCATCCCTGTATGAAATACTCATGTCATATTTGAGCTGGTTCTTCAAAGAATGCTCTTTCTCTTCTAGGCAAGGTCCAAAAATACATTGTAAGTATAGTTGGACCTTCTCTCTCTGTCAAGTTTGAGCCACTTTCCTATCGTTGTTAGGTTGCATCTTTTTCTCTTATTTACAAATACTTGTCACTTCTCAAATCATCTCCATCAACCAAAACTTATTTTTTCATGACTCAAATTGCATCCTTTTATTTTATTTATACTCTGTTCCTTCATGCTCTAAAAACTTTTATTTATCTAGTTTTATTATCCGCACTTAAATGCTTTTGAACTCTCTTCCATCGTGATTTCCTGATTTATACAACCTTCAACTTTTCGAGACTTCTTTCAATTACTTCCTTACTCTTTAATGCTATTCTTTGTTTTCTAAAAACTCTTAACATAATAGTGATTTCTTGCAACTTTGTTTGAAGTGAATTAGATTAAAAAAGAGATTTAAAAAAATATAAATATATAAAAATATAAAAACAGTTCTATTTTGTTCAACAAGCTGGATAAATACAATGCTGCACTATGCTCTTTTTGGAAATCAATACAGATTTTAGTTGTGGATACAGCATAAATGTTTCCATTGTAGTGTAATGACTGTAAAAGCTTTGTCTCAACAGCTGTGCAATGCTTACCATACACCAAAAAAAATTTAATTAAACTGCATTACTTAAGCCATTAAGTATTAGGATGGCTCTAATATGTTTAGGAGAGTTTTCTCATTAATTTTTATTTTTGTTTTGACTGGATAGATGGAATTTTTGATACAAAAGAATATTATTCAAATTTTGGTTTTTATTCAGTTTTTTGGAGGAAAAAATCTTTCTTTTAAATAGTTTAAGTTTTTGATATCATTTTTTATATTTAATGTAATTATTATATATTGTTAGGCTAAATATGTTGACTGTTTGAAGATTAAAATATGTTGACTGTTTGAAGATTGAAATATGTTGACTGTTTGAAGATTTCTGAAGTAAAACTTTTATGTCTTTACAAAAAGCAAAAGAATTTCATAGAATACTTTTATGTCTAAATACATTTACATAAAATGGTCAGAAAAAGCATTAATTTTCCAATTTAACCCTCAAAGTTATTTTGTGACAAAAACTTGGCACAAAATAAACACGAGCTGTAATAGTACAAAGAAAAATCTAATAAGCAAAAAATAGTACATAATAGTAAGCAATATATTTATTTTTTACTTTTGGGACTGATATATATATATATATATATATATATATATATATATATATATATATATATATATATATATATATATATATATATATATATATAATATATATATATATATATATATATATATATATATATATATATATATATATATATATATATATATATATATATATATATATATATATATTAGAGTGCTCTAGAAATGTATAGTGAAAAAAAATTTTATCTCCAAATCTTGCTCCCTTTTGATTTTCCAATTCCTTTTTCTATTTTAGAATAAGTAAACAAATTTCAAGCAATTTAATAGTGTTTAAACCTTGCCACCAGCTCCCTAAAAATTAATAGTTTGAAATTTTTTTATGTAAATTTATCATATGTTATGTTTACGTACGTTACCTAAATTTGACACAAATTTTTATAATATGAATATAATATAAATTAATAAATAATTTATAAATAAAGCATATAAATAATTTTTATAAATAAAGCATATAAATAATTTTTAATTAATAATTAAATAATATTTAAATATGTATATTATCCTTTAATTATCTCTTTTTATAATATCTTTCTTAAAATTTCTTTTATTCTATCATTTATTTTTATTTTAATGTAAATTATCAAAGATTAACAAAGATATTAGATGAACCTAAGTTTTAAGAATTGCACTTTTTTACTTGGACGCTACTCATTGCTTTAACCCAATTATGGATAGACCGGTTTTAAGAAATGACATAAATATCTTGTTATTAGGAAAACTATTAACTCAATTGTTACCATCAAGAGTTCCATCAAAGGAAGATGTCCTGCGTTTCTTTTTCTTTATAAAAGATGGGCCCATGAAACATGCTAAACATGTCAACTGTGATGGTGCTATAGTAAACACGGTTATTGCAGAAATTCAAAATCAATGGGATAAAGCTGGAAAAGAAGTTCAACGCAAAGACAAGGTTAAAGCAAAAATTTTGAATTGAAACTATACGTCCTGAAGTAGACTTGCAATCTGCAGATGACTCTAGTGTCATAGTTACAAGCAGTTCAGACAATTCTGAAGATAAAGATTTTCAAAACCCACAAATCTGCTACGAAACCAAAAAATATCCAACCTGATAAAAACAGAGTAATTACATTGGCTCTTCCACGCAATCCATTCAAAAGTGAAAAAAATTTTAGCAATGGCAGATCGCTTAAATTTATCAGCTGGTAAAAGAACAGTTTTCATGGCAGCTATAATTTCAGAGGGTGGTGCTGATTTGCAGTGTGTGACTTTATCAAAAACTAGCAGCAAAACAGCGGCTAAAAAACTTTGAATAAAATATGGGGATGAAATTGAAACTACATTTGTTTCCCAAAGTATGCTACATTACATTCGGATGGAAAAATTGTTCCAGAGGATGCTGAACAGAGAGTGTGCAAAACTCATGCTAATACTTTTGGGAGTAATGCCTCCTTGTGGGGTGCACTGGCTAAAACCTGGTGCAAACCATCATGCCCGCTGGATGGCAACTATTGTATATAGTGCTAAGATGTATGCCTTTGGTGACCAGCTGAATTATGATCAAGATAAAATGGAGAAACTGCGTCGTATTTGCATATTTAATGCACTCTTCTACGTAAAAGTGTGGCTAGCCACCCCTTTTGCAGCCGATGCACCATCAAATGATCTCCAGTTATACCATGATCTTCACATGTTAAAGAAAACTGACCCAGAGGTTGGTGAAGTGACCATTCTTGCACTGAACAGGCATCTGTGGTATCTGACCGAAGAAACTGGTACTTTTTCTCTTTTTTCAAGTTTGGTGCCAGAATTGGAAAAGAAACAAATAGCCAGATAACTTATCAAAGTAAAGAAAGACATGCCACTGGATAAAGGAGTACCAGTTTTTCCACAATTAGTACATTTGCTTGGCAAGAAATCTTGGCTCCTGTTTAACCTACTCAAAATTGAAACTGCCTGGTTACACTTGCCGCCAGCACAGTGGGAAACAAGTAGTCATTTTCAAGAAGCAGCAATGTTTATATTGCATGCAAAAGTTGTTAATGATCTTGCTGAAAGAACCATAAAACTCATTTGCAAACACTTTAACTAAAGATGAAATACAGAAACAATATTTGCTACAGATTATTGAAAAATACAGACACAAAGTACCAGATTTTAAAAAAGGAAAACATTTAAAAACTGTTTTTTTCTTAGAGACATCAGTACTAATTTAGCATATTTAAATCTTATAAAATAACCTTACTGAACTTTTTTCATTATGTTCATTGTTTAAATGAGCATATCATTAGTTTTTCTAAATTTAAAAAAAAAAATTTGTTATATTTTCAATGTTACAGTTTTTTTGTAGTATTTTCAATATTAAATTATATGAAAAACATTTTCTTTGTGGTGGCAAGGTTACTGTTGTTTCTAAATCTTAAAGTATGATTTTTCTTATATTTTATGATAAAAAGAATGGGAAAATATCCAGGAAGCTAAAAAATTTTTCAGAGCACCCTAATATATATATATATATATATATATATATATATATATATATATATATATATATATATATATATATATATATATATATATATATATATATATATATATATATATATATATATACTCTTGCATGGTAGTCAAAAAGAGTTTCCCATAAACTGTAGTTTTAAAGAGCACGTTAATAAACCAGACCAGAAAAAGTTTAAAAACTTAAATTTTTATTTTTTTTAAAATGATAGACTGCTTGCCTAAACCAAACCCTCAGTCGATGTAGCAGCACTCCCTTGCGAGTCAGGCTATTTGTCAGTTGATGTAGCAGCACTCCCTTGCGAGTCAGGCTATTTGTCAGTCGATGTAGCAGCACTCCGTTGCGAGTCAGGCTATAAGATAGTCGATGTAGAAACACTCCCTTGTAGCAGCAGGCTATAAGATAGTCGATGTAGCAACATTTACGCATGTTTTAAAATAATTTTGTTTTTTAATAAAACAAAAACAAAAACACCACTAATTAAAAAAAACTTCCTAGTCGTTATAATTGCGGTTTTTTAAAAATTTTTTAAAAAACAATGAAATTTAATGTACTTCCGCATTAATTTAATTGCTTTGACATTTCGACGACAATCAAATACAGCTTAAGAGACGAGGTAATTAAAATTGTAGTCGAAAGAGACTTTTTTTACATTAAAAGACTCTTTCGACTACACTATAAGGATATATATATATATATATATATATATATATATATATATATATATATATATATATATATATATATATATATATATATATATATATTATTATTATTATTATTATTATTATTATTATTATTATTATGCTAATTTAGCTAAAATAGTTATTCTTATTATTTAGGCATGCAACCCAAAGTTTCCAATATACAAAGCTACAAAAGATCTTTGTGCTTCTATCAACAACAGTTTAACTAAATATAAATGGCAAATTTCTTCATCAAATAATTTATTGTTTAAAGATATCACAATGAGCTTGTTTTTTACTAATCCTTACAAAATTACTCTTGATAGGCAAGTATTATTATTAAAAAAAAACTTTGAAAAGTGTTGAAATTACACTGTAATCACAAAAGAGATTCTTTTTATAACAGTTAAAAATTACTTTATCTTTTGTCAATTTTGATTTTGAAAGAATTGTTTGTTTTTTGCATTGACAGTATAATCTAATAATATATACTATTATTAGATTATACTATCATAATCTAAACTATTCCAATCATTACATGGTTATGTTTCAAAAGTTAAATTTTGTAGAATATTTTTTTTTACAAAACTATAGTTAGGGGTTGTTGTTTTTAATGTCAATGTGTCTTTTTTGTTTTAATGTCTGTTAGTGATATAAGTTATTGGTTTTAGAAATTTGATTACAACCATACACCATTCTGTATGTTTGTATTAGGTCTCCACAAGCACTTTTTTTTCTAATGAATTTAATATTAAATAAAGTCTGTTCTCATAACTCATTTGATAGAATCATTTTGGTTGCTTTTTAACAAAGTGTTTTATAAGTTTCGTATTGTTATAAATTATTTAAGTATAATTTTTTTAATCTTACATAATGATATTTGATTATAGTTTCATGTTTATATTTATATTATATATATATATATATATATATATATATATATATATATATATATATATATATATATATATATATATATATATATTTAATGAAATTTAGCATATATTTCTCTGGAGGGTCGCAGGTTAGATGCATTGCACAAGCCTTTACTAATCAAAATTTACCAGGTGCTACTAGTGCAAGTATGCCAGTCACAATAGATGCAAAAAATGGATTATGCATGTCAACAAAAGAAAGTCAAATAGATTCAAAATCTTTTTCAGCTCAAGTAAAGTTTGTTGTAACTGTTTTTGAAAATGAGTTTTAACATAAGTTTGTTTATCTATTTAATTTTTTTTTTTTTTTTCGCATAAGGTTTCATACATTAATTTGCCAAACACAACTCATTCCAATTTAATCAAATTAAGTGTGCTGATACCTCATATTGATGGCTTGTTGCCTTTAATATCAACGAAAGAGCTCAGTAACCCAAAATTGTCTTTGAGTCCAGATAGGATACGAACAGCTTTATATAAGTGCTCAAATCTACTTAATGCTGATGAGATACAAACTTCATTTGGTTTTAATAAAAGGGATTCTCATTCATTTACTCAGATTTATCCTTATGAGTTTGATTCAAATATAAGAGGAAGAGATACAGTTAGGTATGGTTTATTATACCAATTATGAGTATATTCAAGGTTTTTTTAGAGTAGAAGTAATCACTTAAGTTTAAATAGGTTATTACAAATTAATTCAAGTAATAGACATATTGTCTAAAGTGTTTTTGGCATTTAGAGTCACATTGCAAAGTTCAGACTTAAGTTAGGCCCCCCTAAATTCATTTATATTTTAGAAAAATTTAACAGAGTTGCTTGCAAGAGCTAATAAAAAGTTTTAAGAATCTTTTTTTTGAAAGTAGGATGCTCCCTTTTTTTTAACTTTTTTGTTTTTTAATTAAAATAATAGTAAAATATAAGTATAAGTATTACAAATAGTAATACTTATTGATTTTGTTATATAAATATCACAAATAGTAATTATGTTATATAAAATGACAAAATGTTATATAAAATTCAAGTATCCTACTTGAATTAAAAGTCCAAATAATAATTATACAAGTAATAGTTAATTAAATTTAAAGTTTTATTTTCAATTAAAAAAAAAAAGAAGCTAATTACATATCAATAATGGTATTATTTATTAGTGGATGTTTAAAGTTTATTTCATTTTGATATTTAAGAAAATATTTTTACAGTTCTGATTCCTTTTTTATTACTCAGGTTTTATCAAAATCTGGATCTTGATTTATGTTTGTGGAAATTTGAAAGTCATTATGATATGAGCGAACTTATTAACGAATGTGAAGGTAGCATTTCTACAAATGATCAAATTAAAAGTTTAAATCAAGCTGTTCTAAATATTATTTTGCCATTTTATGTTTCATACTTGCATCATTCTGGTGAAGATGGTTGGATTGAGTTTCAACACCAAACTTTTTTTCATATCAAAGCACAATATGAAACAGCAATAATTTCAGAAAATGGTGTTAAAAATTTCAAAAATTTTAAAGGAAATTTGTACTTGAAAAAGGTATCAATTAGAGAGTCTGATAAGCGGTTGCAAGTTACTTTTAAAACAAAAGCTTTATTTAATGGATTGTTTATTCTTCAAACAAAAGGTATTTTTAAATTTTCATATAATTTTTTATTGACTAGGTTTACTCAAAATTCTTATTCTGAAAAATGAAATTTTATTTTATTTTTTATTATGTTGGTTTAAGGACTTCTAAAATCCAACGTGAGGTTATTGCATCATCCAAAAATGATATTTTCTTTACTATTAATCAATACAGAAGCAACTTATATGCAGCCAGAGCAGCTGTGGCAGTTTACTTCTAACTATGCAATTCATGATTATTCCGGCACATATCTTTTTAACCTTGTTCCTTGTATTGCAACTGTTGTAAGTTGTTATTTTTTTCAAACCTTTTGTTCAAATTTAATACAAATAATATAAATGGATTAAAAAATGCTGGTATTATAATAAATAGTCATAGAATAATTTTTATAAAATGGAGCAAGAAAAGAATATAAGAAAATTTTGAAATTTTTTTTTTATCAAAACTCTATTGTATAAAGTTGAAGGATGAAATTCAAAGCTGTCAAAACTATCAACTTTAATTAAAATTGTATTCAGCTCCATTATTTAAAAATTTTAAGATATATTTCCCTTATTAAAAAAAAAAAAGTTCTTTCTTAAACTAGCTTCCAGTCTATCCACTAGTTTCAAAAGTTTTTGAATCTATTTTAATTTTATAAAAGTTTCAAAAATAGTAATCATATTTTATAAAAACAAATTTTATAAAAAGTTAATTTAAAAAACCTAGTAACAAACTAACTTTTTTTTAAAATAATTTAAAACCATAGTTTTTATGCAATAAAATCTAAAATGATAATAATTATATTATTTTTTTTTTAACAGTATTTATATTATTATAACAATTTATATTTTTGAAATCTTTATAAATTTTTTTTTAAGTATCAGGTTGGCAAACTTTTTTTTATCTGTTTTGTACAAATCATCATCAATAACAATATAATAAAAATTATAAAAAACCATTACAAATTTTACATAAAATGTCAAAGATGACATCAAAATAAAACCATTAATGATTACATAGCAATGTAAAAATGAAAATTGGCATATTTTTTTGTGAATAATATTCTTAAATAGAGGTCTCCAACTGTTTCTATGCAATTATCACGTTTGAGAAATACCAGAACATTTTTTCTGTCCTATTATGTTGAGGTGTATTAGATTTTGAGTGATTCTCTTACCTTTTTACTCTGATATTATTGCAAGAGTTTTTATGCATTTAGTTAGTAGATATCGGGATTATTATTGGCAGTTACTTTGGACTTGTTATTCCTTATAACATTTAATACAATTAATTTGAACTTGTTATTCCATAAGATGTTTTCTAAAGTTGTTGATATTACTGTAGTGACATGTCATATATGGGCATGTTGTTATTTTTATAAATAACAAATAATAAAAGTTTTTTTAGAATTTTAATATTTATTATTAAGAATTTTTTTAATAATTTTTTTTATGTTTATCTTAACTATTTTGCAATTTCCTAGAATCCTTTTTAAATCAGTCAGCCATCTTTCAACTATTATTTATAACTTTATAAATATTTGTACACTTAACTAAAATTTATTTCAAGAATCATAATTGTATTCTTAATGTGTTTTTCGTAACTTTTTTTTATTTCCTAACTATATTCGGCTCTTAAACTGCCAATTTGTCTGGAACCACCAACACAAAAACATTTACCAACTTCTTTACCATTTTCCTTGTTATTATTTTTGATCCTTTAAGCATTAAAGCTTCGAAAAACCTTTATTTTCAAACAAAAATTTATTTTCAAACTATATAACTAGTATAATCTTACTGAAAAAATATTTCTGACTTCTATCTTACAATTTTTTTTTTTGTTGATATTGTTTTATAACTATTGTTAATAATATCGATTTTACTACTTTTAAAATACTATTACTAACACTGTTAACATTATTTCTATTGTTTCTGTTGTTATTTTTATTCTATTATATTGTTATTATTAATGTTATATTATTGTTACATTTATTAACATTATTATTGCTATTATTATTATTATTATTGCTGTCGTTGTTGTTGTTGTTGTCGTTTTTATTATTATTTGTATTATTATTTTCTTCGTATTTAGTATTTGCATGATTTATTATTTAGGTATTTACTTAAAAATGATACTTGTACTATCTTTGATATTTCACTAATATTTTTTTATTGGCTCTACATTAGCTGTTAATAATTATTAATACATATGCTTGCATAAAAGTGGTAATGAAAAATTTCAGAATTTTCTCTGAAATTACTAACCAAAAAGAAATGAGTAAGATGTACTTGGTATATGGAAACTTTTATCTTTTTTAAAAGAAAATATTTTTATAAAGAAAAAATATTTTCTTTTAAAAAAGAAAATATTTTTACTTTATAAAAATATTTTCTTTTAAAAAAGATAAAATATTTTTATATAAAGTTTTACAAATATTTACAAATATAAAGTTTTACCATATTTTTCCATTATAAATATGGTAAAACTTTATATTTGTAAATATTTCCAAGTTTTATTCTTATATTAATCTTCAATAAAATCTTTTAACGCTTAATATATATTATGTAAAAAAAAAAGTTTAATTTTTAATATTTTTATTTTTCTATAAAACTTTGATTTTTTGATTAATTTTAATGCAAAGTTATTGATAAATTTCTAAGTAAGCTTAAATTTCCATTTACATGTTTATAACCTAAGATATTCATCATATCAAAACAATACTTTTCAATAGTGTTAACAACATCTATATTTATATTTTTTCTCCAATTAATTAACTGTACTTTAAGATTTCTTTCAGTATCGTAAGCATTAACACTACCGTTGTTTCTTTGCTGTATTTTTGCGACATACTCATTTAATTTAGTACTTGGTTTAAGTTGAGTGAAGTTCAGTAATCGCTCAACATAATATGTAAGATTTGTGCAAAGCTCTTCATATTTGATCATATGATATATGTTTTTACTCATATACGTGCTGCCATATTTAAAATCTTTTAAAGTGGCTTGACAGAGATTTTCAGCAACTACAGCTAAGTCAGATTTTTGAAACCATTTTAAATAGAGCATAGAATTTAAGGCCGGTCTTGGATCTCGTATTAAATGTATAAATTTTATAGTATGTCTCGAATTAGCAGAAAATCGTATCAAGCCCCCGGGTAACTTTGGATGTAACTCTTTTATAACAATATGATTGCATTTGTTAGTTTTAAGTGGTTGGTTAAAAATATCGTCAATTTTTGATATTGCAGTATATAAAATCTCTGTTCGGTTTTCTGTTCCGTACAATCTCTGATAAATCCATTTATGCTGCCTGTATAAATCGTGCAGAGGTTCATAATAGTATACTACATCTGGATGAATGTTAAACAAACTTCCCATAATCGTTGAACCTGATCGGCCAATTGACCAAATAAAGATTTTACTAATTTTGCATTTTTCTAGGAGTTTTTCCGCTGATTTATTGGTGTCTTCATTATTTTCATACTTTTCTTGCTGATTATATTTCATTTGGATTGTATAACTCTCATTATTTGTTAATTTTATATTTGGTACTATATGATTTTGTAATAGTATTTTATTTTGCTGCTCGGTAGCGTTTTGATTTTTTTTTGGTAACTTTGAATTTTCTTCTTGTCTAGTTATTAATTTAATGTTTGGTGTGGCTGTCGTGCCATGTTGTTCATTTTGTTGAATTAATTTTTGTTTGCTGATTTCGTAGTCTTGTGAAACTTGTTCTTCTTTTACCCGACGTTTTTCGTCGCGTATCTCTTGCAGTTCTTGTTCCAGTTTCTCGATTGTGTAGTTCTTTTGTAATTTTTCTTTTTCTTGAAGTTCTCTGATTTCATGTATCTCTTGAAATTCTTCTTTTTCTCGATGTCTATTTATTTCGTGTATTATCTGCAGTTCTTGTACTGGAAGTTTGTAATGATCATCATTATTTTGTGGTTGTTCCTGCTTTTGCGTTTTATTTTCTTTGTACCAATTTAGTTCATTTTGTTGTTGGGTAGTTCTAAACGTAATATTTGTTGATATTTTTCTATCTTTATTTTTACTAATATCTTTAGAAAAAAATGTATGATTCTCTGTCAAAAAATTTACAGAAAGTATCCAATATATATAAGCTACTGTAAAAGCTACCCACAAAAAAATTGTACATTCAGATTTTCGCATGGTTTATAAAAGTATGAAAAGTTATCGTTATCTTAATAAAATTTAGCAATTTTCGAGCTGAAGAAAACATCTTTTATATTAAGCCGACATATTTGCTTTTCTTTCATTTCATTTGTTGCATCCGCGCATTTTATTTATTAACAAGTCCGAAATATTAACAAGATATTAGACTTTTCTATAATAAATAGCGAGATTTGTATTGATGAAAAAATATATATTAAACTAAAAAGTTTAATGTTTACTTTTTTTTTTTCTGTACTCAATGATTTTTTAGTTGTACTTATTCTTCGAAAAAATTTTTCAAATAAAAATGTTTTATAAAGGAAAAAAAAGAGATTTAAAATGTTTGTGCTAACCGTAAACACAAATTTTTCATAGCTTTCCTAAAATTAATTTTCTTTTATTAATGTTCACTTTTCAAAATTTTTATTTTGTTTTAAGAAATATAATTTTGTAAAACCCATGAAAGGTGTAACAAATAATGAAAGGTGTAACAAATAATGCACAAAGAAAATAATTAAACTATTGAAGTACAAAAGAGTTGACTAAGATTTAAACATAGCAGCGTTTGATGTTCATTCGAATATTTTACGAGAGCAAACTTTAAACTTGAGTTAATACTTATTTAAACGACAATACTTCGCAAGAAATCGCAATGATAGGAGCCTGGGAACGATAAAAAATTTTGAAATTTGTTCCCCTCTTCCTCTAAATATGAAAGCAAAATGTTACTGAGGGTTTTACTGTTAATTTTTTTAAGTTAATTTTATCAACAGATTTCAAATTTCATCTAACAATATTTTAGTGTTCGAAAGTTACTACTTTGCAAAGCTTATGATCTACTCATTTTATGGGGGTTCGGAGATTTTGTATTGTTATTATTTATAATCTACTCATTTTAGGGGGTGGGAAATTTTGTATTTCGTTACTTATAATCTACTCATTTTAGAGGGTTTGGAGACTTGAAATTGCCGTTATTTTTGGGCATAAAACTATTATATGAAACGTGAAATCTGTTGACGAGTTTGGTTTAGGATAGTAGTTTTATAAAAAAAAAAATGATAAAACTTGTCACATTTAGAGTTAATGAGATTTTAAAAGTTTTTGTTGTTCCCAGCTATTGCAGTTTTTTGCAAAGCCTTCTCATTTGATGTGTACAAAAACATTTACAAGTTTGCTTAATGTCTCAGAGTTGCCTATTCTCAAACACCAAAAAAAGAGTAGCCGTAATCACTGTAAAATTACAATTATTTATTTTATTTGGACTATTACCTGGATCTGTTTAATAAAAATAGATAATAAATAGAGAATTATATCTTCATTTTATAATGTTTACACTTAAATCTTGCTTTGCGAATAATCCCAGTTCGATAACCACAGCGTAATGCGGTAAATTTTTAATGCTGTTTTAGGGTGTTAAATATACGTCACCACCAGATTGCACTCCACACAAGCCGATATCTTTTCAGTTAAATCTTACTATTCAGCAGACAAAATTACCTGCAGAAACCGCCTTCCGTGTCAAAACGAGGTTTTCCTTGTTTCATAGCGATGAGTTCCGCCAATCTCGTGTGAATGATTCTTATGTAATGTTCAAAGAAGGTTTGATCTTTTAATTTGCTTTCGTTGTTTAAAATCGTTGTTTAGAAAAGTAAAGTTAAATATTTTTTAGGAGAAAGAATACACGGTCGCGTTATGATTGATCCCATGCAAGTATTTGGTAACGGCTACGAGATCATAATTGAAAAAGTTTTTTTGTGCAATAGTTTAGATGGATATGCGCCTACATTTGATCCAAAACTAGGAAAATATGGATGCATCTCTGAGTCTCCTAACTTATCTTTTCGTATAAAAATATTGGTATTGTGTTATCTATTTTTTTATTATAGTAGCGGCACAAATCACAAAAAATATTTAAGATTAGGCCTTTTTCGTGAAATTTTTGTTGCAAGAAACGTAGATTTTTGCAGTTAAGTTTATTTTTATCTACTTTGCTTTAAGGATCGTTTAAATCCTGAATATATACAACCTCGTTTAAATGGTGTTAACTTTAATGCAAAGTTTGTTGCGACAAAATCTGAAGATAATTTTGCCAAACCTAATAGTTTTAGTTTCGAGAGTTCACCATTATTTACGGTAAGAAAACTACTACCTACTAGTAGCATTAAAATTTTATTAATCATATAGTTAAAGACATTACCTCTGTTTTAGGTATCTAATGGGGGAAATTGGTATCTTCATGTAATTTACTCGATTCAAGCAGCAAAAGTTTATGCAAAAACTCGAAGTAAAAGAAATACTTATGACGACTATAGTAACATTTATCCGCGGTCAGGTTTAAACAAAACTCGTAAAAAATCATACAAATCTCAGTTTGAAGCAATAAATTTTAAAAAAGAAATTAAAGCCATTGGTCTAAATTCTGGAACTGATATGCAAATGTTATTACTAGTGTCATCCAACAGAATAGTAGAAGAGAATAAATTCTATAGTTCATCTGCTGTGTATATAAAAGGAAACGGATGTTTAATTTGGTTCGGAATACTATTATTGGAGTTATTGAAAAATATTTTAAGAATGGTAGTGATGTTAGAACAACTTAGATAAATGAAGGTCATTAGATTTTTAGTCATTTAATTTGTCTATTTATTTATATTAAATATATTTTAACTTGTATTTATTTAATTTTGTTTCATTTTTTTCAAAGATGATATGAAGTTTTTTAAAATTAGTTTTCTCTCGAAATGTGTTTTCATTTTATTGGCAGAATGCACGCATTAACAGTGTATATGTGCGTGTTTGTTTTGGTATGTGACGTTTTATTATTTTTATTTATTACATAAAGTTATTGTTATTTAGTTTCCCAACCCAAATTGTTATGTTGGAAAATGGAAAAACAAGGCTCCTATCATGTTTTTCCCATTACCCATTACTGTTTTCCTGTTTGTTTTTGTTTTTTTTTTTACTTTTTGGCTTGTTTTCAAGGCAATGGTCTGTTTTTTTTGTCTAACCTAATATCTAAAAATATGTTTTATTTGATTTATGGGGCTATTTAATGATTGAAATATAAAGCTTAAAATAAATCTGAGTTTTTATCTTGATGAAATTTATTTTGTATTTGGAAAATTGTTTTGAATGAGTTGAAATGTTTGTTTATTACATTTCGGTGAAAACAACTTCGTCACAGACAAAAACACAGCATGATTTCTACGATATGTACTATTTATTTTCAGCAAATTTCAACATACTTAGTACATTGGAGGACATTTTGGTAGGGAGGTGTACTGAAGAAGACCTTTGCTATTTTAAAGAGTTAGAATAATTTTAGCTGCAATTAGAGTTAGTTCTTTCCCTTGTATGGATGGTCATAATGTCAATAAATTGTCCTTGAAAAAGTTGGATAGTGATTTTGAAAAAAGTAGACAAGTCTGTTATAAACTTTTAATTTTTGTAGATATTGATTTTGACTGATTAGCAATTGATTTGCACAGTTTTTTTAAGCTTTTTGCTTAAAAAATTAAAGCATATTTTGCTGCGAACTCGCTCATTGATCTAAAATTCAACAAATCGCGACGTTAGAATTATCATGTTTTTGCAAACTGAGAAAATCGATGTCAAAGTTTGTTTGCTGCTAAATTAAAAATATTATTTGGAAATTAAAGTTTTTCTTAAGATTTAAGATTGTTCCGTTGTTTATTTTTAATTAAAAAAAAATAATAAAATAACGCTAACGCCCTTAATTTCCGACCTACTTTTGGAGATATAACAAAATAACTTTGGCTTTTTGTAAAATACAAAAATGTTATTTTGTTACATCTTATATATTAAATATATTAACTACATTTTTTAACAAAGACATGTTGAAAATCGATGAAACTTTGTTCTAGGTTGTTCGTTTTTTTTTTTGTTCTAGTCATTTTTTTTGCGCAGTGCTGTTGTTAGGCACCCCCATACCCATAAATTAGGGTTGGGATCCAGCAAATCTATGGGACCTTTTTTTAAAATAAAAGGAGTTTTTTTTCTAACATCTAAAAATGGAAGTTTTTTATTATTATTTTGGGGCCCTATTATATATTTTGGGAGGGCCTCCAGCCCATTAGCTACTTCAATGTTCTCACAAGTTTATTTGATACCTGTTCGCTCCGGCTCTGAACAAGAATAAGATGTCTAATTTAAAACAGAACACTTCGCTACATAATAAAAAAAGGTAATATATTATATATATATATATATATATATATATATATATATATATATATATATATATAGGGTATAGGAAAAGGATAAAAAATATAAAAAATAGCTTTTTTAAAGTTTACCGTCAATTATTTGAGATCTAATAACAAACAACATACAAGATAAACTTGATTTTAATTTTCTTATACCTGTGATTCCATTATAGCTGTTTATTAAAAACTATTATAAATAACAAGCTTAACAAGAAATTTTATCAAGATTTCAAAATAATATAAACTTTATGTTTTATATACAATACTAAAATAAAAACAACAGAGAGAGTCATATAAAAAAAAGTTCACTTTATTAATGCTTTGTAAAACGCAATATCAACAGCAGGCATGTATGAATATCATGGAAATAATATCATTCGATTTTTCAGCAGATAAAGCCTGATAAGGAACACGTAAGCAAGCTGCCATTGGTATATTTATCTTTAATGGTTTGGCCTTAATGCTTGATGTTGCTCGCTTGATAGACTTATTAACACGTGCTTGTGAATAATTATCTGAAAACGAAGTTTTAAAAAAAACATGGTATGGTAGTTCATTTCGATAAACAAGATTTTTAACTCTTGAATAAGGCACTAACTTATAACTTGACAACCTAGCAACAATTGAAAAATTCTTCACATCTACTTAATTGTATTTGGTAAACAGAGAATGGTTTTTTACGGTTTACATTTTTAATAGCTCTTTCTAGTCCAAGTGAATTAAATATTTCTGCAGCAGAGAGATATTTTTCAATTTGACTATGTATGTTATCACATTCTGGAATGCTGGAGTGACCTGGCTCACAGAACTTCTGCTCAATGATTTTTATTTGTGGGTATCGTATAATAAATTCACGTAAAGCTGCTGACATAAAACTATTGCGGTTTTGTGGCACACATGAATCGAACCAAAGTATAAACTTATTTATATCAAGGTCATCCATGATTTTCAAAAGCAGACACGTTACAGTACTGGCAAGATCATTTCCTCCACAACCAGCCATTGCTTCATGCCAAAGGATGCAATAACCTTTTTTGTTAAGTGAACAATGACCAGTTAAGTTATAATTTGAAAGTTTCCGTTTGTAATAAAAGTTACCAACATTAGCTCGAGGCAAACATAAAACATTTTTAAGATCAATACAAACAATTGCTGTTTTAGAATCAACATTTTGACGATCTTTTTCACGTTCAGTTTGGTATTATTCCTTGATGTTATGTGCTTATTATAACTTTCTGTCTGCTCATTGCTTGCATTAACAATGTTGCAATATTCATAACATATATCACATAAATCTTTCTTTGGTTTTTAAAATTCTATATTGAACTCGTGATTGAAGATATAACAATACACATGTTCTTTTACTGGTGTATTGCCATTTTCATCACAATATACTTTAAAAAGATCATACAGTTTACCTATATTGAGTGATCCTTCATATATTCTTTATTGTCTTTTTCCTTCAGTAATAAGCCTCAATTCTTGGGAAAAGATTTATATGGTCTCGTACAACCTTTTTAGAATCTTGTGGTAAGCTTTTTTTCACATGTCTTCCATATTTTGATTGCATAGGTGTTCCAGTAGTTAAGCATTTATTAAATTTGTGAAAGTAAAAAATTCTTTGGCTACTAATACTTAATGTTGAAAGATAGTAGGATTTACAAACTCTATATTGTGTATTAGAAACATAGAAGCTATAATAATAAGACATTTTTTTTCTAGAACTTTCCCCCGCAGCTGTTCGACAGCTTATTTTTTCCAGATTTTACTGCAACTATTTAACGGTACGATAGATCTTTCTGGCACTTGTTTACCCTTCGAATTTCTATAAGTTTTACACGACTGACGTTGCATTTTTCTTATATTTCATTTCCAAGTACTTGTGTCAGCTTTGCGTTTCCTAGATACTCCACCATGGGGTGGCCTACGAGAAGGTGTAATACCAAGCGGCTCTAAAGAATAAAAAACTCCATTACCTTTTTTTTGTTTATGCAGGATGCATAAATAATATATCATTTTGTTTTTTATGCATCTTGGATAATCGAAATAAAAAATTGGCTGTGAAAAAAAAAAAAACTGTGAAAGTTTAGACTCATCAGAGTGTCTTTATCCAACACCTATATTATAATATAACCTTTATAAGGGTTCGTTTTTGACCAAATAGTTTTCTTGCCATGTCGCCACGTTCTTTACATTTCTGATCAGCAATTGCTATAATGACTAAATATGAATCAAGGTACCAAGTTGCATAGTATGTCGCATTATGGATTAAGAAACAGCTTGAGTCCCAGCTTTAATTGATTCCTCAAACTTTTTCATTTGCCAGTATGCTTTCATAGTTAAGGCTTAGATTTATCAATGTTTAATTTAAAAATAAATAATATATCTATTTTATGTATTTATTCAAAATTATATATTTGTTTTAAAACAATTTTTTAAGCCGTGTACCTGCATCGGAGCAGGTGAACTAAGCTCCGCTCTAAAAAAAACCATCCAGTGTAAAAAACGGAAAGGAACTTTGTCATTTCAGTGATTTCATCCCTGCTCTCTTCATCGATTTCAGAAATTTTTTCAATAAGTAGAAACAGTTTTAATGAAAATAAATTTTACCTATGAATCTGGCCTAATGAACAGCTCTAGGATAGTGAAATTTAAATCTGTTGATGTGTGACAGTAATATCAATGTAAGTTCAGCCAATTCCTGATAATCTTTACGAAACTTTCCATCAAAAGTTTTTTACTAAATTATAATAGCTAAAAGTTATAAAACTGGAAAATTATTAATAAAGTACTATTTTACTATACTATTTTTTGGAAATAGTAAGAAATAATTTAATTGAATTAATTTATAAAGCTTTTACTACTCACCTTTTTAAAAACCTTGCTAATTATATTTCTGCAAAATTGAATAGCACTCAGCCTTTGTTCATTAACTCAATAATCAGTAGGAGTTGAAAATCTTTTTAAATCTTCATTTTCAGTATCTAGATCATTCCAATGGTTCTTAAGAAATTTAAATAATTTATTCTCTGGTCCTGAAGTATGACTGCTTGGATAAAGCTCCCACAAACTGGTAACATGATGCTCAAAAAGAACAACTTATCTATCTTTTGAAAACTGTTTTTCTTTAGTAAGTTCTTTGAAAATATTTCCATCAAAATGAATTGTTATCAGAGAATTCCAAAATTTATAAATGCTTTTTATATCGTCTCTGATTTCATTTGCACCCATGAACACAGCGTTCTCTACTGCTCTGTATGAAAGAGTTAGAGCATACAAATTCAGACATGCATCCTCCAAAATTGACAATAATACTACTAAGAATTACTGTATATTGATGTGGAATTCAACCTTCTTTAACTGCTATGTGAATATGTGAACATTACGGTGCAAGATATTCTTGGGTAGGTTGACAGAATTTGTATGATCAATATGTGGCTCAATTTCAAATTTACTATCATTTGAATTGCTTTTATTGGTATTAAAAGAACTCAATGAATTTTCAGAATCAGTTTCAGATACATTGTTTAATTTATTATAATTACATTTAGATTTAAACTTTCTTTTTAATGAGAACT